TAAAAATTATTTTTATATATATATAAACCAAAATTAAAAATATTTATATGTAAAAATTTATATTATTTTACTTTTCTTTTATTTTTTTAAAATTATTCATATTTATTTAAAAGAAAAAAGAAAAAAAAAAGAAAAAAAAAGGAGCAGGGGCGGGGAAACCCAAATCCCGCCGGGGCGGGGATGAGGACCCAGATTTTATCCCCGACAAGTATCGGGGACAGGAGCGGGGGCGGTTTAAATTTGCGGGGCGGGAGCGGGGGCGGAGAATGTAAAACCCGCCCTCGCCCCGTTGCCATGCCTAACACGTATACCTCGAAATTGTGTATATAATTTGTAGGCCAAATATATCATCATTAAAGATAATAAAAAGGTAATTACTTCTCTGTTTCTAAGGATAAAGAAGAAAACATCTATCAACCAAATAAGAAAGTTTTATTATATATATATATAGAGAGGAGGGTTCAAACGACATCAGTGTAACTTTTACTAAGTGTTATACCGCTCAATAATTTTATATTAAATGTGAATTTTAAAAATTTAACCGTTAAATTGAAAGTTCATATCTCTCAAATCATATATACAAAATTTTATATTAATCCAAGATGATTTCTATACATTAGACAGATTAAAATATTAGTTTATTAAAAAACACAAGTTTTGTAAATTATACATCCCATTACTTTCTCTTCTAATTTAATAATAAGACCTAGTGAATTATTAATAATTATAATTCTAATAAATGAAAAAAAAAACTATTAAAGAAATCTTAAGGAGAATGTTGTTAGTATTTTTTAATTAAATGATAAATTTTATAAAACTAAAAAAATAAAATATTTAAATAAACCTATCAAATATACAAATTTAGTAAAAAAAAAGACTTATAATCAGGGACGGATCTAGGTTGGAGTTGCCCCCACTACCATTTTATGCATATATTTTTTTTATTCAAAAAATAATATATTTTTTAAAAAATTATATTTTAATAATATGTTCAAACGACACCGGTGTAACTTTTACTAAGTATTACACTGCTCAATAATTTTATATTAAATGTGAATTTTATAAATCCAACCATTAGATTGAAAGTTCTTTACTCTTAAATCATATATACAAAATTTTATATTAATCCAAGATGATTTGATATTTCATTTTTATAAAACAAAATTGACGTAATATATATATATTTCAAAATATAATAAAATTTGAACATTTTGATAACCTTCAAGTTGTTTAATTTTAACAAAACTTTATAAAAACATATAAAATAATATAAACTTTTAATATAACGGTTAGATATATAAAATTCACGTTTAATTTAAAATTATTGAGCGGTGTAATATTTAGAAAAAGTTACATCGATAATTACTTCTCTATTCCTAAGGATAAAGAAGAAAATATCCATCAACCATAATAAAGTTTTATAATTAATATATATATATATATATAAAGATAAAATTTAGATACAAATTATTGTACCTAAATTTTGTTCTATATATAACTTGAATGTTAGAATGTCTTTCTATGGTCTACCCTTATCATCTTGGAAAGAAAAGACATGCACCAAAAGATACTATTATTAAAAAGAAAAAAATACGAATACTTTTTATTAAGTATAGTCCAAGTACATATATTTTTTTAATCTCTATAATTTTACAAAAATTACCTTTTTATCTTCATAGTTTCATAAATTGACTTAAAAATAAAATGATATATAAAAAAAACCAAAATGAAATATTTTTAATGTAGCAGAAATTAGTAAAATTCTCTAATATATTATTTTTAACACTCGTTTTCTTATTGACTAAAATCAACCTCTATATATTAAATATAAACTTCTATCTTGTACAAGATTGTTTTTAAAGACTTTTCTTTAACAAGAGATTTTATTAATATTTTTTTAATTTCTTATCTAATTCAATTTTTATTTATCATAATTATTTATGAATTAAATATTAATTGTAAAATAAATTATAAAAAAATATTATAATATAAATTATTCATCATGAATTTAAATATAATTCACATATTCAAATATATTATTTATTTATATATAATTTATTATAAAT